CTCGGTTTTCACATTCCATAGTTGGAGGGGCCTCACAAGAAAGTAAACTAGGCCGCGAAAAGGCATGATCCAGCTCTGGAATCACACGGGCCTTTGAAAAAATAATAATATGGTAATGTTTCATGGAAATAATTATTCTAATCATAAATATTAGGTGATACACTAATTATGGTCGTATGTTAAGTTTAACCTTGCTTAAAATAATTATCGTTAAAAATTTATTTGCTATCTTGTATTTCCAATGAAGACATGCATTAATAAAATAATAAATACCTAAGGTGTTATTTATAAAGCTGAGCTACTTAAAACATCATTAAAAATGTAATAAAACGTAGATCTCAAAAACTAAAAATATATAGGGTGTTCTATTTAAAAAAATATAAATAAAAAATAAGTTGGGTTAGTCACATTTTTATGAAATATATTATATTCATTGAAGTGATCATAAGAAAATTATAAAATTCCCTACAATTCGTTTTTGAAACGTCTTTCTAACTCCAAAAATAACGGAGTAAAGGTGGGTGGGAGTTCTCGCGGATTCACCTTGCACAAAGTTGTAATCTTTACTTGATTAAAAATTAAATAAAGTAGCCACCACATAGCTGCTGACTACTTTCATAGTAGACTAGTAGGCTGTACACTTCTTAATGATTTATAAATTTATATCATACGAAGAAGTGCTTAAGCTTTAATTACGATTGACCACTAGTAAAGGATTTTTAACTAATGAAAAGAAATCCTTCTTGAGGCCGTTGCGAATATCATCGGTAGACCGGTTTCTGGTTTTCGTACTGATGAAGGCAATCAGTACGAAGTAGGCAACAACCGTTGAAAATATAAAGAGGTAGATGGCGGCAGATATTATTAATATATGAACAGATAATTTTATATATAATATTTTTTCTTGCCTATGTCTGAACCGACCATAATAACCTACATGCTGAACAGTAAGCATAAAATTGACCCTAACATATTAGTAAGTAGTGTATAACAAATTAAAAATATACTTTTTTTTTCTTTATGAGTCTTTCCTCACCAGCTCTTCAAATTGCTTTCTACCTTCCACTTTATAGGCGCCGCCAGGAGTGGAAAGATAGGGCAGTTGCCCCCTCCCTGGAAATTGACTAAAGTTCTCAAATATCGATAAATTTCTCGAAATACACTAAGTGATTTGCTTTCAATTAAACCAATATATACTTTTATTTCCTTTCCCCAGTTTGTATTGCAAGAACGGTAAATTTGACAGCATTTGGCAACCATGTTTTTCATACTCCATAGACTATGTGGTCTAATGGGCCGGTTGAGCAGGCATTATGGATAAAATACATAATTACTATTTGTCATTATGAATATTGTTCGCAAAATACGTCACTTATTCCTACCTTTTAAACGAACAGAGTCAGTGAGTAGCCAGAGATCAAAGAAATGCCAGCGGAGCGACGTATTTTAATTAATCTTTGACAAAAGTGTAATTGGTCTATAATTTATGTCATATGAATAACATAGATTATGCATATTTCTCATTATGCTCATTGCTTGCAAAGTATAGTCACTCTGCTACCTTTTTTAAAGGGACGAGGTCACTGAAGACAGTGGCGAAAGATGAAAGAATGCTGACGAGGCGTCGTATCTTTATGTATGTATATATATATATATATATATATATATATATATATATATATATATATATATATATATATATATATATATATATATATATATATATATATATATAATATATATATATATATATATATATATATATATATATATATATATAAAAAAAAAAAAAAAAAAAAAAAAAAAAAAAAAAAAAAAAAAAAAAAAAAAAAAAAAAAAAAAAAAAAAAAAAAAAAAAAAAAAAAAAAATATATATAATATATATATATATATATATATATATATATATATATATATATATATATATATATATATATATATATATATATATATATATATATATATATATATATATATATATATATATATATATATATATATATATATATATATATATATATATATATATATATATATATATATATATATATATATATATATATATATATATATATATATATATATATATATATATATATATATATATATATATATATATATATATATATATATATATATATATATATATATATATATATATATATATATATATATATATATATATATATATATATATATATATATATATATATATATATATATATATGCATTCTTTATGCTGGCCTCACTTGTGTTATATGACATGTATGTATATAGGTCCTACGGTGCATCATATTGGGACTGCCATTTTGAATTTTGTATTCTTGACATTAGATTCGGCATTAGCAACTCCAAAATCTCCTAACTAACTATTTTCATGAAAATCCAACGAGGCCTTGATTTTATGCTAACTTTTGATGTAGTTTGTCCCACCGTGCGTCGCGTGGCATAAGCAGAGCTGTCACAAGTACTCTTAGAAACTACTTGAAATATAAGTATCAAGTATACAAATATCAAAAAATTATTTGAAGTATCCAGTACAGTTTTTCTTAAAACATACTTCAATTATTAAGTCCTCTTGAAAATTACTTGATGTATCGCCAATTAATTTACTTGAAGTAAAACAACAGTACTTGAAGTATGCTTCGTAATTTAAGTATATAGAATACTTAAAGTACATAAAATTATTTGAAGTAGTACAAAAAATTCATAAAAAACTAAGTAAAATTCAGTAACTTTCGATTTAAATACAATTTGTATGTTTGGAATGGATAAATAGTTTAATGGTTTCAGATTCAGATTAGAGTTGTGTAAAAAATATATTTTAACATATTTAGTTATATGCTAAGCATATGCGTGTAAATCACACGGTGAAAATGAGTGATTATAAAAATAAATTTATATATGTTGGTGTCACGGATATTATGAAATCAGTTATAAAATTAGCAAAGTCTACACCAAAACATCCTATTCTGAACCTTTAAGGTGGAGATCATTTTAATTGTTTCGGAGGAAAAAGGATGCAACATGTAACCTTATCGTAATAATAATTACATAATGATGATATTTGTTTTGTTTAATTTCTTTTCTTTAAGTGGTCATGTAAATAGACAAAATTGCAGATACTGGTCGACAGAAAATCCTCATTGGATGCAAGCGGTTCACACAAAATATCCTCAGAGAAATTAATGTATGGGCAGGAATTGTCGGCAATCGAATTATTGGGCCTTATTTCTTTGAAGGAACACTAAACGCAGAACGCTATTTAGAGTTTCTTCGAATCGAACTTATTCCTGCATTAGCTGTTCTGTTTCCCAACCCACAGGACCCCGACGTACCAAATGATATAATTTGGTTTCAACGAGATGGGGGTACCTCCCCACTATGCAATCGCTGTTCGTCAATTTCTAGATGCAACCTTCCCCAATAGATGGATTGGTAGGAGGGGACCTATTGAGTGGCCGCCGAGGTCACCTAATCTAACCCGTGTAGGTTTTTTCTTATAGGGTTATTTAAAATCCAAATTCTATGTGAGCCAACCTAACAACCTTAATGACTTAAAAGAAAGAATATGCCAGGATCTCCTACAAATCTCACCAGAAACGATTCACAATGTCCAACGAGAAATAATTATTCGTATTCAAAAATGCATTGAAGTAAACGGGCAACACATTGAACATATATTAACTTAGAAACATTTTTTTAGACAGTTAGTGCAGTAAATTTGTAAATAATACAAAAAAGTATTCATAATAAAAACGTGTTTACTACATCTTTGGAAACGACTTTTTATCGTCAATACAAATCCGTACAAAAATACAGGGTGTTACATTTAAAATAACAAAGTTGATGTCACTTCTGGAAAAAAACCGGAAGTGACACTGACTTGCCGTATGATTCAAAATGTGCCAATTCAAAATTGCAAATCGACGTGTCCGATCGTTTTTTGGCAAAACCAGGTTGGTCAGATTATATTGAATTTATTCCTTTCATTGTGAAGGTACTGTATAGCATAATTTGGAATTTTTATGACATTGAAGAATATCAATTACAAGAATTGTAAATAGGTAAAAAAATGGAAGTTCCCGTTTGGTTTTTTATATAATGCTGATTATTATTGTATAAAAAAAATTAAACTAAACTATCATGAAATTAAAGAGATAATTTGGAAAAATCTCTGACATAAACAAGATTCCTATTATTAGACTTCCTGTCCTTTAATTTTTTCCAACGTGTTTTGTTTATGCTACGAGTAATTAATTATTCTAAAAGAAATTCATTTTAAGAGATTATTATCATTACTTCCAATTTTGCAGAGTAGATTCAGTTAAAAAAAAGATAAGGTTACTGACATACTAATAGATAATTTAGTAAGTATTTTGATAAATCGATTGAAACTGATAGATAATCTCTTTAAATGTGATATAATGGTAATATACCCAAACAAAGTACGAATATATTTACATATATTTATATAAAGAGTAAAATTCTACAGTTCAGTATATGACCCCATGTGTGACAAAACATCGGAATGAAATTAGATATGTGTGATATATTCAACTATATTGAGTTTGAAAATTTCATTATCTCTTGGTTATCTTACATAATGATAATTTTACTGGCGAATCAACTATATTTTTTCAGACCTACACCGAGATTATTAAATTAAATATTTCACAAATTTCACAAGTTTCTCTCGAGTTTCTCCTTTGGCAGTTTAAGTTGTGCATTTCTTTAATCTAACATACCGTAACACGTGTATCATTTTTCATATATTTATCATAGATTCATAAATAACATGTGCTTAAAATCGATTTTAAATTATCTTATTTCTATCTTCTCTCGCATGGAAAGTGTTGTCACCAATAAAAAATTAATAAATAAAATAAACACCAAGAAATTAGACTACCCCTGAATAAATCCAAGGCCGATGCTGCACGGGCGAGGGTTACACTTATGAAAACATACGGACACACAACCATTCCCATCGACATCGGCAGTGCCGCTGGCGGGATTCGAACCCGCAGCTACAATGGAGAGATTAACTAGTCACATTTGCCATCGCACGCACTAACCAACTATTCCACCGAGCCAGTAGTCTAACAATTATAGGACAATCACTTTTGAACTTGAAAATTCCAACATATATTTAGTGTTATAAGACATGGCATTCTTCAGTATGACTCAAAAATAGCATATATGTACAGAGTGATCCACCATAAATTCATCCCCCTCTAACTTCGTCTTTTATGAACGGATTTCAAAATTTCAAGAACTAAATTATAGAGTACAGTGCCGTCACAATGAAAGGAATAAATTCAATATAATCTGAATAACGTGGTTTTGCCAAAAACGCTCAGACACGTCGATTTGCAATTTTGAATTGTCACATTTTGAGTCATATGGCAAGTCAGTTTCACTTCTGGTATTTCCGGAAGTGATATCAACTTTGTTATTTTAAATGTAACACCTTGTAATTTTGTACGGATTTGTATAGACGATAAAAAAGACGTTTCCCAAGATGTAGTAAACACGTTTTTATTATGAATACTTTTTGTATTATTTACAAAAACGTGAGATATTTACTGTAAGAACATAGTAAGCGTTCAATACATTTTTAAGTTGTCAAAAAGTAATTGAAGTTTCCAATATCAGGTGTCTGTAAGTATATGTAATAATAAGATACGAGACGTTGAGCGAGTATTGAAATAACGCAGACTTCTGTTATGAGGACTATTTTTAGCAATTTCATTGGCCGTTTTAAGATAGCCGCAGGGCACGCGCAGTTACATGACACGTCAAAGTGTATTAAATCCTTTTGGAATCATTTGTCAGCAAGGAACTCGATAGACGATAGAGAAAATACTCGCCTAGCACGCGGTAGGTCCAGGGTTCGAAACACGAATTTATTTTTTATTTTTTTTAAATAAGTATTTTTTAGTTCGTTAGTAAAATTGTCCTTGCCCTTTATTATAGTTTGTTTATTTTCCTTGCCCTTTGTTATAGTTTGTTTATTTCCAAAAGGATTTAATACACTTTGACATGCCATGTAACTGCGCATGCCCTGCGGAAAACGGCCAATGAAATTGCTAGAAATAGTCCTCATAACAGAAGTCTCCGTTATTTCAATACTCGCAGACGTTGAAGTTGAAAATAAAAACTGCAAAGAAAAGAATGCAAAGAATTGTTTCTCCTGCTTTTATTTAGAACACGCGCACAGCGCACGCCATGCATGAGTCATGTCATAACGATAGTCTAGCTGGAATTTTTTGTGTTGTGATTGTGTACTGTCTGGTCGGGGAAAGAAGACCCACGGAAAGAATGTGATTTCTGCATTCCATTCACAATTAAGCGTACATGAAATAAATGAATTAGTGCATGGTAAATTTTTGCGATCGTGTGCATCCGCATCTACTCATTAGGAGAGATATTCTACTCCTAGTATGTGGTTTCGCAGAAAGCTGGCGACTTATCAGTTATCGTCATTACTTTCCCTTGCCGGGCGGGCCTTCTTTCGCCAGCTGGACAGTATTATCGTGTTTAGTTAATATTCACAAACTACGACAAAAATGACAAAGTACAAAATATATCGGGTTTTATGTAAATTCTAAACTTAACAGGCGTCAGTGGCCACCTGCCCGCCAGTGGTTTCAGATTTCAACAACATTTAAAAGAAAAGAAACGCATATTAGTTGATTATCCGAATACCCAGTTATTCGAATAACCGGTTATCCAGATAACCGGTTATTCGAATATCCAAATAACGGTTATCTGATTTTTCGAATAACCGGTTTTTCGATTTTGTATAAAACCGCGAATAATCCAAAAGCGATTAACCGGTTTCAGTTGCCAGCAGTGCCGTTTAAATTGATTGATTGTAACTTTGGTAACCACACGACAGTCATGACATCTAACCTAACCTATATAAGTCTTTTCTTTTTTATATATTATAAATCATTTTATTTTCTTCGTATTTATACATTTCTAGAAAAGATAATAAAATAATTGTTATGTATCCTTTCAAACCTAATATGAAAACAATAATAAATACAATTCTACACTAGCACGTTCAGATAAAAATGACAGTATAAAATGTAGGAAACTATACGTATTTATGATTGTTATCATAAGGTTTGAAACGATGCTTATGTAATACCCAATAATTATTTTATTATTTTTTCTAGAAATGCATAGATACGAAGCAAATAAAATGTCAGGTCTCTTGTTCCTTTCACGAAATTTTTCTAATCCCTATTATAAGTGCACAAGAAGGATATAATACACTAGTCTAGTCTATAAGCTTAAAATGGTGTTAATTCTACATACTATTATTAAAATTATGTGGTTTAGCTCATTCGATCCGGAATGATGTCTAGATCATTGTGCCAAATAATTAAATTAGCCCATAAAAAATTCCAAAAGTTATAAACAATTAAACACCTTCAAAAAATAGTGTTTGGTTTGTAGCTTATTGTTCGTAAATTATAAATATTTTCGAAATTTGAAAAAAAAGATCCTTAAAGAGGAGGAAATTTAGTAAAAAAAAGTTCCAACTCCCGGAACTGTACCTCCATTATTTATAATTTTAATTTAACGCTGAAAATAGCCCTCCGCGCGCCATTGTTAGGTTGCGCGCAAGGCCTCGAAAGTGAGTACGTCACTTAAAAAATTTTTTTTTAAGTACTTAAAGTTAATTGAAAAATCTAAAAAAATTATAGTATAATCTAAACACTTTAAAGAATTGATTCCCGTTGAAATTTTTTCATAAAAACAAATTTTTCAATATGCTAGACGATTGTTAATTAACAAAATTTTTTGAAACTTCCTTCATCGTTCTAAACTAAAAAAAATGTTTAAATAATTGCCGTAAAATTATTTCGCTTCGTGGAGCTCTTCTTATATACATACAAAACAAGATTGCGTCATCAAAGTTTTAAAAATGTTAATACTTTGTTTATAATAATTTTTTTAAGTTAACAAAAAAAGAGAAAAACACAATAATGTTGTAAAGAAAATTTTTTCTTTATTTATTATTATATTTTCGTTTTTATGTCAATAAAAGACATTTATTAATTGAAAAAAATAATTTTTTTCTCCATTTGTTTATAAAAATTTTATAAACAAATGGACTATTTTTATATTTTTAAAAAATTTTTTTTCTAATTTTATAGAGAATTGTCAATTATGATTTTTTGGAAAAAAAATTTTTTCTTAATAATTATTTTTAATTGTTTATAATCGTTTTTTTCTATATATTTGTTGTTTAAATTATTAGTTAAGAAATTTTTTTTTTCTAAAAATCATAATTGATTTTTTCTCTACAAAATAACAAAAAAAAATTTTTTTTCCATTAACAATTGCATTGTTTATTAACTTTACAATTTGTTATAAACAAATTCTCAACTTTGTTTTATTTTTTTTCTGAAAGTAATAATAATTACAAAAACGACCTCGTGCATTAAAATACCGAAAAAAAATTTCATTCTATTTTTTTATGTAATTTTGAAAATATACGTGCTACAAAAATTGCAGCAGCTGATCCATTTGTTGACTTTAAAGCTAATATAACTTTTAAACTATTAAAGATACGACAATTAACATTCATGTCATTTTTGTAGACAATGAAATTATCTTTCAGATAATGTCAGTCATATATTTTTTACCTATTATTAATTTGTTGTTTTACGCATTTGTTTATAAAAATTGAAGATTTTTTTGGGGTTTTTCGAACTTCTGCGGCTTCTAGCTCTGTAAATAATGCGAATTCGGTTATTGAACTTCAAGGCATTTTAATGCACGAGGTCGTTTTTGTAATTATTATTACTTTCAGAAAAAAAATAAAACAAAGTTGAGAATTTGTTTATAACAAATTGTAAAGTTAATAAACAATGTAATTGTTAATGAAAAAAAAATTTTTTTTGTTATTTTGTAGAGAAAAGTCAATTATGATTTTTAGAAAAAAAAAATTTCTTAACTAATAATTTAAACAACAAATATATAGAAAAAACGATTATAAACAATTAAAAATAATTATTAAGAAAAAAATTTTTTTTCAAAAATCATAATTGACAATTCTCTATAAAATTAGAAAAAAAAAAATTTTTAAAAATATAAAAATAGTCCATTTGTTTATAAAATTTTTTTAAACAAATGGAGAAAAAAAATTATTTTTTTCAATTAATAAATGTCTTTTTATTGACATAAAAACGAAAATATAATAATAAATAAAGAAAAAAATTTTCTTTACAACATTATTGTGTTTTTCTTTTTTTGTTAACTTAAAAAAATTATTATAAACAAAGTATTAACATTTTTAAAACTTTGATGACGCAATCTTGTTTTGTATGTATATAAGAAGAGCTCCACGAAGCGAAATAATTTTACGGCAATTATTTAAACATTTTTTTTAGTTTAGAACGATGAAGGAAGTTTCAAAAAATTTTGTTAATTAACAATCGTCTAGCATATTGAAAAATTTGTTTTTATGAAAAATTCCAACGGGAATCAATTCTTTAAAGTGTTTAGATTATACTATAATTTTTTTAGATTTTTCAATTAACTTTAAGTACTTAAAAAAAATTTTTAAGTGACGTACTCACTTTCGAGGCCGTGCGCGCAACCTAACAATGGCGCGCGGAGGGCTATTTTCAGCGTTAAATTAAAATTATAAATAATGGAGGTACAGTTCCGGGAGTTGGAACTTTTTTTTACTAAATTTCCTCCTCTTTAAGGATCTTTTTTTCAAATTTCGAAAATATTTATAATTTACGAACAATAGTTACAAACCAAACACTATTTTTTGAAGGTGTTTAATTGTTTATAACTTTTGGAATTTTTTATGGGCTAATTTAATTATTTGGCACAATGATCTAGACATCATTCCGGATCGAATGAGCTAAACCACATAATTTTAATAATAGTATGTAGAATTAACACCATTTTAAGCTTATAGACTAGACTACACTCACATGCAAGAAAAAAACGCAACAAGTTAATATTTGGTAAGATTTTAGGTCTCATAATTTCTTTATTTTTAGTTCAATTGTCATAAATTTTTTAGTAAACTGTAGATAAAATGACTAATTTTAACTT